GTCGAATTAACACAGATGAAGTCCAGCTACAGCTGTTGGAGAACATGCTTCAGAGTGCAGTTTGTGAAAGCTATAGAAAATCATCACTGAAATATGGCAGATGCTGAAGCGAATACCAAAGATATGCAAAACTAGTAATATACCGAATCGCAACAAGTCCGTGCGCCAGATGTTAAGAATTGCGTGTTGGTCATATCCTTTTTAAGACCTTGGGCGTTAAGTAATATTTGCTCCAGATAACTATGGTGTTATTCTGTTGTTTAACTGAGGGCCTTGTCTGAACTAAGTCTTTCGTCGATTAGAACACTGTGGACACGAGCTTCTGTTCGTAGTCTCTCCCCCTGGACAGTCAGGGCGCCTCTCGATAGCTGACCCCTTTTTGATGCATATATTATAACGGGTTTCTGTCGTTGTCGAAACGTGCACCCGGTAATCTTTTCTACTGCTTCACCCACACTCGTAATCGATGAAACTTGTGAATATATTGTCTGTTTAAGCGGATTTAAATCGTTTCTCTTCAGATGTGTTGCTTTATTAGTTTTATATTGTTTATAATTATTTTTTAGCTCGTAGGTGCCACTGGCGAAAAGGTTTCAACATGGACTCCTGCAGCTCAGGACTTATTATTGAGGTAAAATTTACGGTATAAAGTTTCTGTGTAGATTCTAATCATTAGCGGTCATTGAAAGGTTTATTGTATGGTGTCACTGTGGGTAATAGTTTGGCTTCAGACTGCTGAGGTACCGATTCCATCCCGCCGGAAAGCAGTCTTTGTCTTAATTACGAACTCCCTTGAGCAAGGAATTGACTACACGATATTTTGGGATGATTGCTCAGTCGGTATAGTGTCGCACTCATCGCTTAGAATTCTCGAGTTGACGCCCTGGTCGGTTTCCTCGTCCTTCTTCTTTAACATATTGATAAATAAGTACCATCTTGTTTGAAGGAAGCAAATTGTGCACTGTGTCATGTAGATGCTGTCAATTCTGCCTTTAAGACATGAGCCACTCCTTCCTGACAATACTGAAATAGAGCTCAGCACCCCCCTCCCACACCATTAACTTAATGAAAAGATTGGCGTCAGAATAACCCCATCGTTAAAGTTAAGAAAGATCGCCATTCCGACGGTTAGAAACTTTCCTTTTTCCATTTTGTAAATGATGCTTTTATAATTTATAAACGTTGACTTAAATGCATATTTGAGGTTCGAAGTTCAAAAAGGTCATTGTTAGGGGGTATTTAATTATTTCTGAATAGGACAATTTAAGTAATTAAATGTTGCTCTATAATGTGAGTGGTGACACAGTGAAATATCGTCCGGCGCCTTACGCGTCTATAGTGCGATTGCTATGCATGCGGCATGAATTTTTTATTATCTGCTAATTTTCTCAAGAACATTTATCTTGCTGTGTTTCAGTGCACTCTACAGGTAAGTGAGTGGCAAGGAGTTGAGCTGCCAATAATTCACTCCCTAATTGGAGATTTCGTCAGGGTTAAAATAGAAAACTTCTAACTGGCCAAAGTTCCGGTTAGAAGTCTACAGAATTATTAATTTGTTAAATGGAGCTTGCAGAATAAATGACTGTGTTCTTGCATCAGCGCATTATTAATTGGGGCTGAACATGGAACGCCTTTGTATATTTTTATGGCCTCAATTAGTAATATATTTTTTTATCAGGCACACGCCGGTATTTTTCTTTATCAATCGACATTAATGAGCTGGTCAGTTTTTTGAACTGCCCTTAGTTCGAACATGCAGCTTTTTGAAATAGTTGAGATTTACAACAGTATTACTAAAATTTCTGAGTCTCTGTTTAATATTAAAGGTTAGAAGTGCGGAGTTTTTAAAAAAATCGTAAATAAAATCATATTTGCCTTATAACTAGAAAATCACTTGTTTCTGGTTAGTATTGCTGCTAGATGTGTCGATACCATTTTTTGTTTTTTCCGAAGCCTTCAACGAACGCTATTCTTTTTTCTTCCAGTTTGTTGCAACATAGTCTGTACTGTCACGAGGTAAGCGATAATGATATTGCTACAGAAAAACTAATTCAGTTCTCTAGTTTCGTTACTGACTGAATTTCACTTTCTCCCTCGAATGGCGTTGTTTATCGCAGCCCAATTTTTGCTGCCTGTTAAATATACACTATTGATTACATGTCACATCCTGGTTATCTGTTACGTAAAACGATTCTTTTTAACAGTATCTTTAAATAACTTCTATCGTGTGTGTAGGCCTTACCAAATAGATGCTTTTATCTGATGCATGTTCAGTGACGGTTGAATGATCTGTCCCCCTGTCGATGTAATAAAAGTGTTTTATTCAGATCGATACCCAACATCGTGAAGGTTACCTATATAAAACTTTCTTCACTTTTGGCATTGGAGTTTCTTGATTACGGTTTTGTTATCTGTAAATGGTCGCTTATTTACGTTGATTTAATAGGTCCTTTGTTTATTTACTTATTTATAAAATTGAAGCCTAGTGTCTTATGTCAGAAAGAGAATGAAAGATAAAACGAAGTTGTTTGTAACTTTGAGGAGCCTCATAACGTCATCTTTAAATAACTGTTTCACTCCTCTGCAAAGTATCAAAGTATCAAAACATGAACGATGGACAGAATAATTCGAGGTGGAGAACAAATGCTCCTAACGTTGTCAGTACTCATCGCAAATGGTGTTTAGTTGCATCGATCAACATTCATTTGTTTTTATCGCTAGTTTTTCTACATATGAAATGTTCTGCTTTGTAATGTCCATGTATTCCTACTGGTATTGCTGTTTTGTAAGGCTGCGTTTTTAGGATCGATGCCCTATGCGACGGCAAAGGATTAAACAAGTTTCAGCGTGCAGCTGTGTTTTCTGACCTACAGAATCGTGTAATGGTAAGTCGCGCTGACCTGGTGAACCATGTACGGAAGATGAAGGAAAGAAACGCTGCTGCTCCTGTGTCGATGATAGTCGAGAAGCACAGACCACAAGAAGCGGACTGCATTGCAGCAGCGGCGGCGGCGACAACTGCTACGACTGAGATTCGCGCTGATCTGCTCATCGCTAACTCAAAGAAACTACAAGAGCTCTTCTGTAAAATAAAAGAAGGTAAAGCGCACTTTTCTACTGTATTTCTTAGTCTGATGCAGCCCTGTTTCAGAAATAAAAAAACTTATGCCTACTATGGAACAAGAGTACTCGAAGGTCGTCGCAGAGACCGCTAAGAGAAAGCTCGAACTGTACCGGTATTTCTTCTAGCTTTGTCAACTTAATTTAGCGTTCTTTTTTAGACTGTACGCAAGTGCCGCAGGCGGTGATAAAGTGAAACAGAAGAACATATATGCTCCAAGGAAAAAGTTTGTCTGGTCCCAGAATATTCGGTGAGCATTGAATTTTTCGTTTTGCCTCGACATATCTATCGTAGTCTGTTTCAATAAGTTTATCAATGATGAAACTTCAAAATAAGGTGGTGTGCACATTTAGTGCATTAAAAAGATCATCAGAACACGTGAGTTAAGAATGTACTCCATTTGGGTTACAAGTAAATTATTGAAACAGTAATAATATATAAATTTGAGCTAGCGCTGAAGCTTTTCATCTCAGTTTTAGAAAAAATTTGTTTAATACATCGGGTGACTTCAAAAAGGACGGAAATTAAGCAAAATTTAATTGGTTGAGACGTATTTCTGTATGTTAGCACGAGCTGCCGTAATGTCCCTTCTCGCGATAGGCTTACACGACGAAGTGTACCGTAATCATCGACCCCTAGGTAATGGCGCCTCAGTACTGACAACGAACAGAAAATAATCGCAAACAAAAGTAAAGAATAATTTTACTGTTTCTTTGAGATTCGACAAGCTGTGGAACTGTCTGATTCAAAATCCCAGGCTAACGTTTGCTGAATCTCGCAGAAGCCAAGAATTGATCACTAACTTTAATATCTGTTTTTCGCTGTAGTTGTGAATTAAGTAATAACAGTCCCAGACGAATGGACTGTTGTTTCGGTATTTCGACAATATTCTGAAAATGATTTGCGGGCTGGTGGGCTTGTTTGGCGATATCCACGAAGGTGCTGATAAGCACATTTCAAGAAAACTGGATTCAGCGCAAATATCAAGTTCCCCGTTATTTGCATTCGTTTACAGAAGACTTAAACTCGATCTATCGACGACCGGCTTTAGGTGCATGCGAAGCCATTATATTGAAAATTTCATGCATGCAACGGATGGTATGAAGTTTCAGCAAAACAGTAGCAGGTTCAGAGTCATTTGCAAGGGTGATGTGGAATATTCATCAAGTTATTAACACAAGATCTAGAAAAAAATTGTAAACAATGGAATGGAGTAGTGTTAAGAATCAACTTTGTTTAGACCAATTTTGGTTTGCCGACGATGTTCTGATTCTTTACAAGTTCTCAGAAAAAACTCGGAAGAATTCTAGAGGCAGCATGTAGGGGTGGAGGTTCGAAGATGAATCCGAAAAAGACTCAAGTAATACCTGACTTTAAAAACTATAGAAGTTAATGAACTTAAGCTTGAAAATGTGCAGAAGCTGCATGTATTGGGAAAGCTGATTTATACGACAGGAAACATTTACATACGTAATCAGTATTTCTTTACGTGTTAATCTGTTCTTTCTTCAATGTTTAACCAAAATATTCGCAAGGTGATGCGAAATGCCAGCACGTATTGCACTGTCTAACTAGATCACCAGTGCAAACATTTTCGAAATTAGATTTTATCTACTGTGTTGTGTTTATCAGCTGTTGTGTCGATAAATAAATATGAGAATTTTAATTATGATTTTTTACTTTGCGTAATTTTTAACCATGTTTTTTAAGGCAGCTAGTTATGACCCTTTTCGCAGAGCTGAAGAACTATTATCTGGATGGTAATTTATGTGGATCGGTGACGTTGATAGATTTTGTGAGCAGTTTTCTGGACGTTTTGGT